GCAGAATGGTTTTGGTCGACAATGAAATATTGGTTTACATTTTTTGAACGCAGATAGTTCTTTACATCATCTGATTTGAAAGAAACTTCACAGTCAGATGTCAGTTTTTGTTGGATGGTATTTGTCAACGAATATTGTCAAAGCAGTTTTCACATCTAAAATATTTTTGGACTGTAATGGTATGGCTTCACAGTATCTTGTGTTTTGACCGACAAATATTAACAGTATGGTGGTCCATCTGTTCTAACTCTCGGAATGTTTTCCAAGATATCCATAAACCAAGCATTTGGTGTTGAACTAAAGATTTTTACCATGAGTGCTTTCTTTGTCGCTTTAGAAACATAGGGGTCCTTGTTTGGATTCGTCATTTTTATCCTATAAGAAATGGGTTTATTTGGCGCGTTAGCAGGAGTTGCATCTAGATTTTTGCCCGCAGTGGAACAATAGCCAGAGGTGCATTTGGAATTGGAAGGAAGATTTTGAGTACATTAGGTATACTTAAAGAGAAAGCACAACCTATTATACAAACTTACAGAAAGGTTGGGATGTAGCACGAGATGCAAACAAATCTTATTCCAAATCCTGAAACAAGAGGAAAAGTTCAAGGATGGATGGACAATGTAGGAAGACAAGCAGGAAACTATTATAACAAAGCAAATGACTACTATAACCAAGCAGGACACTATATGGACCAAGGTGAAAGATTCTTTAACAGAGGATATAACCATGCACAACAGTGGGTAAACAATAACCAACCTCAACCGCCTCAAACTTGGGGAATGTAAAGTTTTTTACTGAGATGAAATGAACAATACAGCATTGAGACAAATGGGTTCAAGATGGATTTGTCGCTTCCAGCAGTTACACAACGTGTTTGTCAAGTTCTTCCTAACCTCAGGAAGTTTTAGACCGACTTAAAAAACCTCAACAACCAGTTGAAAACAAACCAAACTAAAATTTTTACTGAGATGAAATGACCGAAGAAGTTGAAACGGTAGATTTGACACCAAAACAAAAAGTTCAGAACCATTGTCAAAACCTGTCAAAGAACTTACAGATGAAGAGAAAAATTCAATAATAGAAAGTGCCAGGTCTGGAAATACAAACCCTAACTACAAAGTCACTTTTCATAAAAATGGAACGGCAAGTATCTCAAAAAAGAAACAGACTCTCACAAATAAAATATTGAAGTCTGAAGGAGCTTTCGAGACAACAGATGGAAAAGTTTACTTCACTGACCAACAGTTCATTATAGAACATCTCATTGACTTAGAGTCGAAATATTCTAAACTTTACAACAAACACAAAAAGTTGAAAGGAAAACAAAAACAAATGGCATATGATATTTATGAAGATGTTGACGACACAACTGTTCCTGCAGGTGAGGTAAAGTCAAAGGAACCGAAAAGTGACGAAAACCGATAGAAGAAGAAAAACCAAAAACTGAAGATAAACCAAAACCAAAGTTTAGTTTGGAAACTAACCAAGTCAACCTTCATTAGCTGGTATGGTTGGCGTCAAAGACTTATGGCAGCAGGCGGTTATGTAAAGTAAAGAGAAAAATATTTTTTTATTTTTATAAAAATGCCCCCATATAGAATGGACAGAAAGTCTGCTAGAATAAAAGCAGAGTTGCAAAGATATGGTTGGAGAGTTTCGAAGAATTTTAAATATAGGAAGGAAGACCCATAAAAGTCTATGACAAATTGTCTGGTCTTCGCTACGAAATGGATTTGGAAACAGCACGTGCAAATTATCCAAACAGACTAGAGAGGTTAGAAGAAGAACGTCTTATGGACATGCCTTTCGATGTTTAGTGAACCTCAAGTTGAAGGACACGACGGCTTTGCCAGATTCTACTGGAAACATGACGAACAATTGCATCCTTTGAGAAGGAAAAAAAGGAAAAGGTGAAGACACACATGCTCCCATGGAAAGAACAAGATATGCATATGAGAAGTACCGTGAAGTTAGAAGTCAAATTACTTCTGTCGAACCTTTACAGTAAACTTTGACGAAGGAAAGAACAAAGAAGGCTTCATGGGTGTACTTGCTGCCATACAAGACGGAAATAAGAAAGGACACAATCTCAGATTGACCATAACAGATTTGGATGGTCACATTTACTATGCACATGGCAATGTCACAACAGCTGCAATGCTTCTTGACGCTTTCAAGACTACAAAGAGAGAACAAATGGTTGACTCCGACTCAGACATTTTGAATGCAATTGAAGGAATTGCAAGTGTCAAGTTCGAATGGTACCAACCTAACCTCAAGCAGTCAGACAACATGCTGGATACTTCCCGTTCAGAAATAAGTCTGACATTGACTTGACAAGGTATGGAATTTACAATTCAATTGAAACAATTGTCAACGAACCTTGTATTCTTACATGTCTCAGGAACTCTGGTCTTGTACAGATGAGAAAATGAAGTATCTTGAGTCATGTGTGAAGACAAGGTACATTCTCAGAGGTCAATTGGCAAAAGTTGCACCGTTGGCAATGTCAATATCCGAGTCAACATTCCGACTGAGAAAGGTTCTTCACATGACGACTATGTTGTTGACAAAGACTTACCATGGTTGAAGATTGTACTTGTCCACAACCACTTCATGTTGAACGAAAGTCTTACAAACCCATTGTTCGGAAAAGGCAAGTGCAACATTGTCAGAGCTGTAAACATTCTTTTCGAGAAAGGTTTGTTGGAACCAATTCCCAGATGACAAGCTGACAGAAACTTTTGTACCAAAAGACGAAACAAACTTTTCATTGTTAGCAAGACCAAAAGTTGTCCAGACAAAGTTTCTGTACAAAAGAAGTACACAATTCCACAAGGAGTTGGATTGTTCGGATACCAACCTGAACCAGAAGAACTTCCAATGAGGTTGCAAGAACTTCAAGATGCTATAAACAAACTTCCATTGAGACATCCAATTGACGTCAAATTGTATTGGAGAGCATCTGAGTTAGGTCAGAAGGTTTTATATGAAACAGGTTGCTTCGACGATGTTTATGAGATAACAGGAGAAGTTTCTCAGAAGATAAGAGACTCACTGAATTTCCACAAACTGGACCAATTGGTTGCGACAAGTTCGACTCAAACGAAAAGATATACTATGTCGACCTTAACGCTGCATACATGAGGTTTGTCCAATATATTCCGACTGGAATTCCAAACGAAGATGGTGAGTTCCCGGGAAGGAACTATACAGTTGGAAAGTCATACAACAACTGTATGATATTAGGAAAGCTTCAAACCCCAAACTTGCAATGACACTCAAATTGCTTATGAATTCGACATGGGATATTCATTAAGAAACCTCAGAGATGAAGAGTAAACATTATGAGAAGGTCGACAACTTTGTTGAAAGTTTTCTCCTTTGTTTTGAAGTACGAATTCACTCAAGGTCAAAGTGGCTTAGTAAACCACATTAAAACCTATTGTCGAACATTGCTTACCCTCAGTCGCAAAGGCAGTCCTTGACAACTACAACAAATTCTTCTCCGAAGTCCAAATCCAAGTTGTGGTTTACTATGAGAACATTGACGCACTCATGACGAACGAAGAAGGCTATAACAAACTCATTGAATGGGAATGGTCGGTGAGAAGATGGGCTGTTTTAAGCTAGATAAGGTATTTTCAGAAGTTCATGTCCTCTCCAAGCGTAAGTACTGGGCATACTTGAAGACGGCACAGAAATAAAACATTGCATGAAGTAAAAAATTGCATGAAGTAAAAACGTTTTTTAAACCATATATTTTACATATATTAAATGCTTCAGGTTGAAAACAAAGAACAAAAGTAGCAGATACAAAACCGTTAACTATATCTATACAAATGCTGGTAGGACTATTTCAGATGAAGAAATTTCATCCCGAGCATACAGGTTTGACTATCCAGTTCGTTGGCTTCAAAGTCCTTCAGATGCAAAGGCAATAGGATTTAGAAGAGTTTTGTTTTCAAATAGAACTAACGCGTTTATGTTCGCAGTATATTTTCATGGGCAGTATAAAGGTTCTGATGGTCTTATAGACAAATTTGACGAAATGAGGATCTTTACAGTTCGTTCAGACGAAAGTCTTGAGAAAACTCTAAATGACTTTCAAACTCAAATGAACAAATACTATTGGGAATTTCAAGAAAAATACGACTCTTTACTAAATGGAACATACTATCTGAAACTAGAATATGACAAGATGAACTCCACCGTTTCATTTCAAAAGATTGAAATTAACCCTCCAAGAGATACAGAGTTTTTATTTTGGAAAGTAGACAAACGTTCTTGGGCACAATTTCTTCGGTTACTAAACCAGAACGAACCATTACCACCAGATGGTCCATTTAAATTTATACTTCCACCAGCAGATTTGACAGTTTATAGAAACGTGTTTGACCCTCAAAATGTTATGTGTCATGCAAGTTTCAGTTCAAGCAACAATAGTTTTCTATGTATCGGTAAGGACTTTTATGACTTTGCTTCTAAATTCTACGAACCACCTAGTAACAGTTTCTCTGACTTTCAAGTTTGGTTCACAACAAATGGTGTGCAACATATTGTTCCATTGTACTATGACTTTTATCTCGAATTGTCTTTCATATATAACTACGGAAAAGTGCTGAAAAAGTATTGAAAAATATATTTTAGGGTAGATGGTTTTTAGGTGTCACCAGGTCACCAGGTCACCAGGTAATTTTAACTTCTCTGAAAAAATGAGACAACATGACATTTTGACAACAGTCGGGAAAATGTCAAGACTTCTTCATCGTAATGAGTGTAAATGAACCAAAAATATATTTTAGGGTAGATGGTTTTTAGGTGTCACCAGGTCACCAGGTCACCAGGTCACCAGGTAATTTTAACTTCTCTGAAAAAATGAGACAACATGACATTTAGACAACAACACAGGAAATAAACTTCATCGTATATGTTTTGTGCTGAAATAAAAAAAAGTTAGTTTTTTTTAAAAAAATATTTTTTATTTTTATTGTAAGAACATGTTAGCAACAACTTCACCAAACTCGTTAGTCATGAACCCAACTTCAATGTTAGTAGAAATGAAAAGCTTCATTCCTTCTTCATATACTTTCGAAACAGAAATCCAGAAGATAAAGCAAGAACTTCTCCAAGGAGATTTAGATTGCACTGCGAAAGATGAAACAAATGAACAGTATCTTTATGAAATGCAGGACCTGGTGGAACATCTACCTAAACTTCCTGAAATACAACAACAAAAGCTCACTATTCCTGAATTCGATGAAATAGAAGTGAAACCAACTGACTCAGTTGAAACCAAGAAGTTCATACGTAAGGTTAACTATGAGTTTCTTGGATTTCATTGCAACCACAAAGTCATTGACATATATAAATCTGAAGAATTTAAGACCTACGACAACTTTGTTTCGTTAGTTGCAAAATGTGTATGGCAGATAAGAGATAAAGATAGAAGAGGTAAAGTATGGAACGGACAAATAAAACCAGCAGCCTTTGAGTTAAAGAAAACCATTTACGCCTTAGTTGTACTTGCAGGACAAATTTCAATGTACAATGCTAAAATGAACCCACAATGTTCTAAATGTAAAGCAGCAATGAGGAAATATAACTATTCTGTCAAAGAGATAGAACGTATGCGAAACGACTATGCTGACTTAAAGAAAGAAGCAGAGAAACCAGCAGAAGATAAAATGGACATGTTGACATTTCTGAACAAAAACTATCCAACTGCTGACGATTTCCTTCTATCTGACGTCAAGAAGAAATATAAAGAAACATTCGGCATTGTTAAAACATTCGATGTACTAAAAGAAGAAATAGAAGCTACAAAACTGTTTAGAATTTCACGAATTCACAATGTTTACCATGTAAAACGCTTGTGAAACTTTATGGTAGAAATATATTTTTGTCTGATTTACGCTCATTGACGATGAAGTTTTGACAAAACATATACGAAGAAGTCTATTTCCTGTGTTGTTGTCAAAATGTCATGTTGTCACCATTTTCAAAAAGATGTTAGTTGACCGAGTGACCTGGTGACCTGGTGACCTGGTGACACCTAAAATATATTTTTGTCTGATTTACGCTCATTGACGATGAAGTTTTGACAAAACATATACGAAGAAGTCTATTTCCTGTGTTGTTGTCAAAATGTCATGTTGTCACCATTTTCAAAAAGATGTTAGTTGACCGAGTGACCTGGTGACCTGGTGACACCTAAAATATATTTTTGCTGAAAAAATGACCAAATTTCATTATATAACTGTTATTTTTTTACGAAGAGAACTTTTGCACTTCGTAAAAAAAATCCCTGAAATCGTGGAAAAATGACCAAATTTCATTATATAACTGTTATATTTTTACGAAGAGAACTTTTGCACTTCGTAAAAAAAATCCCTGAAATCGTGGAAAAATGACCAAATTTCATTATATAACTGTTATATTTTTACGAAGAGAACTTTTGCACTTTGTAAAAAAAATCCCTGAAATCGTGGAAAAATGACCAAATTTCATTATATAACTGTTATATTTTTACGAAAAGAACTTTTGCACTTCGTCAAAAAAATCCCTGAAATCGTAAAAAAATGACCAAATTTCATTATATAACTGTATTTTTTTTACGAAGAGAACTTTGACACTTCGTCAAAAAAATCCCTGAAATCATATCTTTTATACAAGATAGAAAATCTTACTCGCCTAAAACTCATGAAAATCGTGAAATTTCTCTAGACCGACTTTTTTCGGTCTTGCATAAAACACATGAAAATCGTAAAAAAATGACCAAATTTCATTATATAACTGTTATTTTTTTACGAAGAGAACTTTTGCACTTCGTAAAAAAATCCCTGAAATCGTAAAAAAATGACCAAATTTCATTATATAACTGTTATATTTTTACGAAGAGAACTTTGACACTTCGTAAAAAAAATCCCTGAAATCGTGAAAAAATGACCAAATTTCATTATATAACTGTTATATTTTTACGAAGAGAACTTTTGCACTTCGTCAAAAAAATCCCTGAAATCGTAAAAAAATGACCAAATTTCATTATATAACTGTATTTTTTTTACGAAGAGAACTTTGACACTTCGTCAAAAAAATCCCTGAAATCGTGGAAAAATGACCAAATTTCATTATATAACTGTTATATTTTTACGAAGAGAACTTTTGCACTTCGTAAAAAAAATCCCTGAAATCGTGGAAAAATGACCAAATTTCATTATATAACTGTTATTTTTGACGAAGAGAACTTTGACACTTCGTCAAAAAAATCCCTGAAATCATATCTTTTATACAAGATAGAAAAAATAAAGTTAGTTTTTTGTAAAATATTTTTTTTATTTTGTATGTAAAGACAGAAAATGACAAACACTGAGTTTGAAACAGTTAGAAAGATAGACAATGACACCAAAATGGTTAGAATAGGTGATTTAAACGTAAGATACTCAAAGAAATACAACAAATATTCTTTGTCAGACATTATATCTCCATCTGGAAAGAAAACATCCCATTGGGTTGGAATTGCTTCAACTCAGAAAATTTTGACAAGAAATCCTGAGCTTATGATATCAGTAAGATTCTATGGAACTGCAGCATATCTTATAGACAAAAGTCTTATACCAATAGTTTTGTTATGGTTAGACCCAGTTGTTGGATATAACTTCATAACATATGGTTCATTCGATACGGAACGTTGCAGTGAAGGCTTACTTTACATCGTTCAGAAACCGAAGGACTTCAATACAAAGAGATATAAGATAGGAAGAACATATAATATAACTCAAAGATATGACAGTATAGTCAATAGAGTCAAGGTTGTGTTTGTTAACGATATGAGAGCTGCTGAAACAGAACTACTTGAAAAGTTTGAGAAAATGTATGGTGCTCCCATGAAAGGTAAAGAAACGTTTGAAGTAGATGAGATAGATAAAGCTATAAAATTATTTGACGAAGTTGCTGAAAAATACATGTAAAGCGTTTATTTTTGGTCTTTTGTGAAAGTCAGGAAATAACGCTAATTTTTTATAAAATATTTTTTTTATTTTGTATGTAAAGACAGATATGACAACAACAGAGAACACAACAACTGCTATCGTTCATGAAGCCATAAGTGAAGAATACGAGTACATACAATATAACAAACAGTTACGTCTCATTCGTTCGGTCAAAGACGATATGTACCAAATGCAAAGTATTTTGACAGCATGTTTTGCTCCAGATACTAAGAAACCACAAGACTGGTTTAGGAACCAAAGCACTATTGAACTATTAAATGAAGCTGAAAATTCGACTACGGATTTTCTCGTAGTCGCAAAAACTCGAGTAGGTAAAAAACCGCAGTCGCCAAAACTCTATGAAAATCGTGAAAAATTGCCAAACGGTTTGAGAGGATATTATGTACATAGACTTCTTGTAAATGCTGTTGCAATGTGGGCTTCACCTCGTTACGCTTGTTATATTTTCATGATGTTAGATGAAATTCATAGACAAGAACGTGAAGAGCTAGAGAACAAGCTTGAATCCAAAGACAAAAGCATACAGAAAAGAATACCACGTTCGGTACCAAAAGGAAAGGAAAAGAACTATAAGTATATGATTTATACTGAAGAGATGGAAAATGAAGAAGACAGAGATATGGTTATGTTGCATTTAGTCAGAAGAAACAACAAAAGCTTTTACGACCTTGCTAAGATTTACAAATCTGACAGAAATTGGTTCTATCGCGAAAACTTACCGATTTCAATGACACCAAATGAAGATGTGAAACAAATAGTTCAAGATACGTTACCTCAAACACACTATGATATTAAAGGTTGTACAATACTTACCTTCAAAGAAGATTTGCCATTGTTAAAGGAAAAAATAACAGAGTATTTTGACAACTTCAAACAAGTAGAGTAAATGAACCATTTATTTTTCAAGCTTGACTTTTTACAATTTGAACTTTGTTTGCGTAGATATGAATTCTGAAAGAAGTATGAGGGTCTTGTATGACTTTGTACTTCTCCCATAGTTCATGTCTGTCAAACTTACCTGCCATGGACTCTTTCATAAGTTCCATGAAATCGTCTTCGGACAATCCGGGGAAAAGTACAATGTCAGTAAGTATTCTCTTTACATCCTTACTTAAACTCTTTGCTGTCTGTACACAAATGACAACTGAAATGTTAAAGTGTCTGAGCTTCTTAAGAATTCGACACATGTCTTGTTCTCTATTCTTTAACAAAGGATGAGAAGCAAAGTCATCTAAGATAAGAAGACATCTATGAGGGTAAGTCTTCCAATCGTAAGATTGCAATTTCTTCGAAATGTATTCTATCTCTTTCTGTTTGTTTCTGAAGTGTTTCTTCTCTAATATTCTCTGCATTTCCTCATTTGGGTCTTTAAACTTCGAATTGACATACTCATTTATAGCATTGTACTTCAAAACTCTTCTTTGGTACTTCTTTATCCAATCTAACAACTCAGAGTCTTTTATACATACTAACTTAGACTTCTTTATAATATCTTTGAACGAATTGACGGTTTGGTCAAATTGACCAGAAGTACTACAAATAACAACTAACTCATAGAATGGGTTCTTCTCATCTAGTTCTTGTTGTTGTGCAGCCATTTTAAGATAAGTGAAAGTCTTACCCGACCCAGGTGGTGCAATTAGACCTGTTATACCATTCTGAGCAAATAAGAACTTGTCATGTATGGGTTTTATCTGAGCATTTTCTAATTTCACCTTGTTCTTATTTAAAACATTCTCAAATTTCTTGTCAATGTCAGCAAACTTTTTTTCTAACATATTTTTAGAAAAATTAAAATTTTTATCTTTTAGAAAATGTCTAGCGATTTCGCTATCTATATTCGAGACAAGCTTTTCGACAGCAAAACATCTGTCGACCATAAAATCTTACATAGTGTAAACAAGAAAGGTGAATTTGTTCTAAAGTTCTGTTTCTGGGAATATGACAAGAACCATAAAACATTAAGCAGAGCAGTCTTAAAATTTGTCAATGACAGACTTGTTGACAGAGATGACGCCGATTGGAAAGATGAAGTCCAACAAAAGTTCTTAGAATGCAAAGAAGACACATGCGCTGTTCTTGAAGATGAAATAGAAAACAGAATAGAAGAGCTATTAAAGGACAAAGAACTTTTACATAAATATGGTTCTGAGAAATTTGACGTCTCACCACCAGAGAAGAAGAAGAAAGAAAAGAAAGAGAAAAAAGTAGAAGAGAAGAAAGAACCTGAACCAGAGCCAGAGAAGAAGAAATTTGACATGTAAAAATAAAATTTTATTTTTAGAACATTTCTGGGTCAATGTCAATGTTCTCTTCCTCTTTAGGAGCAAACACTGGCTTAGACTCTAAAATCTTTTTACCCAATTTACCTTGAACTTCTACAACTTTAGACTCATAATATTCATAGTCGTCTGCTTTCTTTGGTTCATAAGGTATAACAAGTTTGTATGCTTTGCCTTCTTTAAGGTTTGAAAACCTTCTGTCAAAACTTTCTTTGACTGCTAACAAACCTTCTATGTCTAAGTCTTCAAATTTCGCACCGCATTTTTAGTCACAATAGCAAACTTAACTGGTTCGATGTTCCAAACTTTGCTGAATGAAGACTTTTCAAAATGGTAGAAGTAAACATTCAAATATGTGAATGGGTCTAGTTCTTCTTTGACTTCTGTCATGTACTTGTTTACTGAGATGAATTTCGTCATCTTTTCTATCGGATAAAAAAATATTTTTTTTTAAAATTTACTCAGAAAAATTTTCTTTGTATATACACCATTCTGTACGTCTAAAAGACTTTTGACATTTGCCAAGAATGTTCGTTTAGACGCTGTCATATAACCATACTCTTGACAATATTGTTTATACGAATCGTACAATGACCTTTCATCTAAACACTCAAAGTCAGTTTCATCTATGAACAGTTCATATACACTCTTGTTTGCTTCTAACAATGTTTGTCTCTCTTCGGTATGTGGAATTTGTCTTGGATTGAACTTAGAAATATCTAATGTCATGAAATATGAGAACAAGTGGTTGTAAAAGTCAGATGTCAAAGTTTCTGCTAAGTCGTCAAAATATTCTGTATCTTGCATATGAGAATCTGACGTTCTGACAACTACATATCTTCTGTCAGAACTTTCTAACTTCATCGGAACAGCATTGTTTGAAACCATAACGAAGTTTGCAACATTTTCACAAACTCTTTGGTCTTTATATTTTCTTTCAACAACTCCAACTTTGTCTGTTATAAGACTCTTCAAAGCATCTGAGTTCAAAACTTTTGTTGTATCTATACTTTGAAGTTCGTTACATACTATAAGTTTCATATTCTCTATTGAAGAGTTAAATTTACCGCAGATGTTTTCTAAGTTTGTCATATTCGGGTTCGAATAGCCCTCTAACAGTTTGCACAAAATATCTGTAAAGAATGTGTTCTTACCTGTTCCTTGTTTTCCAATTATAATGAGAGCAGTTTCATTTTTAGCACTTGGATGTTGTAAGATGTTTGCAAACCAACATAAGATATACTCATAGACTCTTTCGTTTCCATTGCATATAATTTCTTTGACATGGTCTAACCAAGCTTCTATAATATTTTCTTTCCATTCTACTTGTTCATATTTATATCCAGTGAAGATAGAATAGAAGTTTGGAGATGGTGTATAAAACTTTATACCACGAACTGAAAAATCTTCTAACTTTGACAATAAGATATCCCAAGCATCTAACATCTTCATGCCAACTTGTACGACTTTTATTTTCTTAAGTTTCTGTCTACATTCTTGTTCTGAAACTATTGTTGCTCTTGGTTTGTTAAAGACTACATCCCATTCTTTCATAACATAACATTCTGGGGCAGAGTCGACATAAATGACTAAACGTTTCAAATTCTCGACTGCTTTGTTATAGTCTCGAAATGGACACATATTTCTGAATGTTTGGAAGTCATAAAAATCTGAAACATCTATTCTGTACATTTTTATAAAAAAAAAAAAATATTTTTTTTATTCTTGAGCTATTTGTTGCATTTGTTGTTCTTGAGCTATTTGTTGTTGAAGTTGTTCTTGTAATACAATACTTTCACCAGTTGCATCTTCCAATTCGAAACTTTCTGCCGTCATTGACAAATACATAGGACATAAAAGTTTTACAGGAACAAAGTTTGCGTCAACTAAGGTTAAGTTTATGTTTGCTAAAGTGTTTGAGTTTACTAAAGCTGAAAACTCTGCATTCGAATGAACAATAGGCAAACCAGCAGAGAAAGTGTTGTTTATACGCATAAGTATCTTTTGGTCATAGTAGTTTCTGTCGACATTCGAATAGCACTTTGAACCTAAGTTTGAAACAATATATAAAATAGGTGTGCTTAAAGTCAATGGAACAGACATTCCTTGTATGACACCTTTTCCTGTTATAGGAAACTGTTGGTAGTAAAAACCAGATATAAGTTTTGTATTATAGCTCATATTGTTTATAGTAAACTCAGTCGGACATCCAAACATAATGAAACCTGCTCTAGTTGCAGCACATGTTACACCCGTACTTAAAGTATTAAATAAGTCAACAAAACCTGTTGGTGGTATATCTGAGTAAGTATCTTCAAAGGAGTATTTTTTACCATTCACAACAATAAAATCTTCTGGTGTCAAAAGAGCAAAACAGGCTTTAGTCGTCATTGTGTTTAAAGTTAGTTTACAATATCGTCCTTGAGGACTTTGTAAGTTTGTTGTTATAGAATTATATGACTCAGGGTTTTTAGTCGTAATAGTATAAACCACTATGTCTTCTGCCATTTTATATATTTAAAAGTTTTTCTGAAAGTGGAGAAGAACTTCATCTAAACTTTCACATGGCGTTTCTTGAAATTCTCTGTCTAAGAAGTTCAAATATTTTGTAAAGACATAGAACTTTCCTTTGTCTACACAACAACAAAACAGGGTCTTTCATATCGTTCAAAAGTGTGTAAAGTCCTTTACATGAAATAAAGTCTATATTATTTTTCTTCAAACATCTTTCAAGAAGTTTTGACATTTTTACTTAGCAAATAAACTTTAATGAAATGTTGTGGTCGTCAAATATTTTTATAACGTCTGGGAAACTATATTTTAAGTTCAACGTTTCACCTCCTTTCATAACGTATATCTTGTCAATGACATTATATGAAACACCACAGCAACTAACGTCGGGTTCTATTTCTTTGATGTTTATATCGTCTGCCTCTGTCAAAAGTTTCAATAGTTCTTTCAAAACTTCATGAGGTGCAATGACATATGAGTTCACTTTTACAGGGTTGTGTTCGACCAAGTTTAACATTATACCTAAAGCTTGACAAATCTTCTCCTGAGTTTGAAGTTTGTCTTTCAGTTGTTGGTAGTCGTTTCGAATATCTGCAACAGAACTTAAGTCTCTGCTAACTTCAGGGTATGTTGGTTGTTCTTTTACAGGAACTATTGTTATACCATCTTGGTCTTCGTATGGTTTCCCCACTTCAACATCTCTGTCTTTGACATTGACAACAACACTTTGACTGTTTGTTTGAGTTGGTGAATTTAACTTCACATCTGCCACCGCCATTAAACCTTTTGAAACACTTACGCTTCTATTTTTCGGAAATGACATTTTACTTAGAATAAAAAGATGGACGTATTTGAGTATCTCTTCGAATTGAAGCAAAACAAAGTTTACACACACAAACAATACAAATACATTGACAGAATAGTTCTTTATACAAACAATGGAAAATGTTATAGAATAGCAGTCTTTGCTGAACCAAAATATTTTCATAAAGCAAAGAAAGTTGGTATAACTGAAATGGTGAAAGTTCTTGAAGCAGACAAAAATATAACTTCAAAACTTACAGATATTTCTAAAGGAAAGTTTATAATACAATATTATGTCAAAACTGGCGTACTGTCAATATTTGACGGAGAGAAGTCAGTTCAAGAACAACTTACTGACCTGCTGCCAAAATCTGCTTGATGGAAGCTGTCGTTATGCCAATCTGAGGAGCCCCAGCAGGTTTCATCGAACGAATCTTCAAAAGAGCATCTTCCGTGAAAAGTGCTATTGGTTTTGTAAACTTCTTTGCTCTCAATTCATCTGGACCGTCTCTGTCACCAGTATATTGTATTTGAACTGTACCAACAGTTGAAATACCACCCATAAAGTCTTCTGAGTCAGCAAATGGAATGCCAAGCCAAAAGTTTGAACGGTCTCCATTTGTATATTGAGTTTTTTGACCTCCTGTATGAGTCCATACTTTCACATATGGCATAATAGAACTTTGCATTTCAGGGTTAATGGTTGTTGTGAAGTTGTTGTTAAAGTTCATAGCATCTAATGTCAAGTTGTATGACCTCATATCCTCAACTGTAGAATATTCTTCTCTTGGATAATATTTGCCATCTATGTTTATATGATATTTAATACCAGGGTTGTAGAAACAAGAATAGTCATTTATAGTTCGTCTGAACAGTACAAACATAGTATCTGCATGTTTCATTGCAGTTGTTAAAGCAATATCTGTTCTTGCACCTGGGTCAGCACTTTGGTTTCCAACTTCACCTGCAAAGTCTTTGACAGATATTTGGTGTATAGGGAACATAAGTGGAACTGCAATATATTTGGCAGCTAAAGCATTTGAAATATCTGGGTCCAACATATAGACTGCAAGTCTGCTTTCTATTCTCTTGCATTCAAATTTTTCGCATGTGAACTTAACTGGGTCCCAAGCAGTTCCAGCAGCATTGAAATAATAGTTTACTTCAGTGTTGAAGTTTGAGAAACCAAAGTCTAAGTCAACTTTGTCTTTGCAAAAGTCGGCGAATGACGTTTTATTTGTTCCCTCTACGTCTGTAATAGTGAATGGGTCTTGTGTTGGTGCAATGACTAAGTTATTTTTGCTTGGAGTAAGTTCGATAGAAATTTTTCCTGCCCAGTTTGGCAAGTATCTTAAAAACCTGAAGATGAGGAAAGATGACAAAGGAACTCTAAGTTTCAGTTTTACTTTGGTTACTGCTGCTGCAGTTTGTCCAGAAAGGTTAACATAAACTCCTGGAACGTTAGGGTCAAGTCTTCTTATTTTCTCAATAGTTGCATATTGGTCTGTTTGTTCTCTAGCTTGTGGTTGTAC